TGACTCCATGCCCTGAGCCAGTGATGGCAGGAGGTAGAGCCTTCCAGGATGGGACATGGGAGCTTGATATGCCTGTGAGTCATCCTTCAGAGATGTCCTCAGGGTGCAGGGGCTAGTCTGGGGTTCAGGAGAAGACAGGGCTGGAAAAAGCAGTGGCATCTTGGAAAAGAAGCCATGGAAATGGATGAGGTTGCCAGGGAGAGGTGGTGGTTGGGATGGGGATACAAGTCACCCTTAGCCACACATACCCTTGTATGTGGCCTCCTTGTATGTGGCCTCCTGCCTTCATGCCTGCTGGTCCTGATGCCGAGCTCCAGCCTTCCCGTTTTCCTGACTGCGGCCTCATCCCTCCAGGCATAGCGAACACCACCCCTCCGGGATGCCACTTCCTCTGTGACGTGCTCTCCTGTCCCCTCTCGCTCTGGGCACCACCGGCTCACTGCCCTGTGGTGAAGTTTCTTAGTGCTTCTCTCTCTCCCTGAGCACATCAGAGCCTTCTTGAGGGCAGGCTCACCTTGCGCCTTCTCACTGTGGCCTCATGGTGGTGCAGCCACCAGGGCGGGAGTCAGTGAGTGGTTGAACACAGCAATTGAAGGACAGTCTTTGACCTGGCCAGCTCTGCTTCTGGAGCTCAGTAACAAAGCAGGCCTAGCGCTTTGGCTTTTCAAATTTCCTTTTTTTTTTTTTTTTTTTTTAGATTTTATTTATTTATTCATGAGAGACAGAGAGAGAGAGAGAGAGAGAGAGGTAGAGACACAAGCAGAGGGAGAAGCAGGCTCCACACAGGGAGCCCAACATGGGACTCGATCCAGGGTCTCCAGGATCAGGCCCTGGGCTGAAGGCGGCACTAAACCACTGAGCCAGCCGGGCTGCCCTCAAATTTCCTTTTTTAAATCAGGAAGCACTTCAAACATGCAGAAAAATACAGAGAATAAGACTCATGTCTTCACCTTCCAGAGCTGTCTCACAGCCATGCGGTCCCCCCCTGAGTCACAGCCCAGGAGAGAATACTAGAATCAAAATAATGTAAGTCAGTTGGATTTTCCCACAAAAACACTATTATAATACCAGACCAGCTCTCTGCCTGTGGGCCTGGTGCCTGTTGTTACATTTTTTAATGAGAATAAACACTGCACTCAACCTGTGATACCACAGAAAGCTTTCGAAAGAGCACATAAATCAGTCATCCAGTCCCCACCGGCCAGCCACGGTCTCTTCTGTCAGGCATGGGGGCGCTGTGCTCACCTGACTTCCTTATCACACCTCGTGCCTGGAGTGAGTGCCACAAATCAAAAGGTAAAGGAACGTCTTCACCAGAGTCATGAAATGGGAGGAACTTCCTGGATGAGTTCATTGCTTTTGTTGAAAAAAATAGCTGAACTATCACGGTAATCTATGTTTCATGTTTGATCAGCACTTCTTTTAAAAATTAACTTGTATCGCCATTTTTTTTTGCTCTTATAAAATAATATAGGCACATTCTAGAAAATTCAGATAAGCCAAAAGAGCAAAAATAACTTGAGTCCCAGGGGAGTCCCACCGAGAACAGGCAGTTTTCTGGAATGTATCCTTCCAGTCTTTTTTCTACACGTATGTGAGGGGTAGTGCGCACTGGTGTATATCTGTTAGTTCACACCCACACATTTTCTTCAACAGCATGGGGCTAATGCAGGCAGATTGTTTAGGGATCTACTTTTTTGCTCCAATTGTAGAGAGAATATCTGGCTCTATCATTACACATTCCTCTACAAAATCGTGTTAAGCATGGAGAGATTTTGGCAGATATTCTGTAAAAGGCTTTTGAAAGAGTTGGGTCCCTTGGGGGGCTTCAGAAATGGTTCTGGGATCTGTTTTTCTGCCCTCCCTATACATTTTCCTATCTCAAATATAGGAATCAGAGATCAAGGCACACTCAGGGATGGAGTCTGTCTCTTCTGATCACTGCTTCAGCATATTTGCTGGTATGTGTTGCCCACCAGTATTGTTGAATGAGAGCATGGTGGGTAGAGATCTGAGTACCAGTGAAGCTGCAATGATTATCTAAAGACCATTACCACACTGCCAAGATTCAGAAGATCCTTGAGAGACACCAATATCTTTCCAATCACATGATGTATAAAGATCTAATAAACTTTCCCCCCTCAGGTGTGGACAGTAGGGATGGGGATGGAAGAACAAGTTTTTGGAATTACTTTGGCTCAGTGGTTGAGCATCTGCCTTTGGCTCAGGTCGTGATCCCGTGGTCCTGGGATTGAGTCCTGCATCAGGCTCCCCACAGAGAGCCTGCTTCTCTCTCTGCCTATGTCTCTGCCTCTCTCTGTGTGTATCTCATAAATAAATAGATAAAATGTTTTTTAAAAAAGAATTACTAGTACATTTGTGAACCATCTAAACAAAATAGGAAAGGGAAGCAACATTCTCACCGCCCCTTTCAAGGTACAAATATGATTAAAGCATTCTTCCCTGCTTGATTTGCCTTTGAGTTTTCTTAGTAAGTCCCTGTATTTCTTTTATAACCACTTAGCTCTGTGGGGAAGATATTATATGATTAAAAAGAACTACACCTTCAGTCAGTCTGGACAACAGTATGGAGATTCTTCAGAAAGTTGAAAATAGAGCTACCCTATGACCCAGCAATTGCACTATGAGGTACAAATGTCATGATCCAAAGGGGCACCTGCACCCCAATGTTTATAGCGACAATGTCCACAATAGCCAAACTATGGAAAGAGCCCAGATGTCCATCAGCAGATGAATGGAGAAAGAAGGTGTGGTGTATATATACAATGGAACACTGCTCAGCCATCAGAAAAATGAAATCTTGCCATTTGACATGGATGGAACTAGAGGGTATTATGCTAAGTGGAAAAAGATTAATCAGAGAAACACAGTTATCATATTATTTCACTCATGTGGAATTTAAGAATCAAAACAGGATCATAGAGGAAGGTAGGGAAAAATAAAACAAGATGAAATCTGAGAGGAGACAAACCATAAGAGACTCTTAATCATAGGAAACAAACTGAGGTTTGCTCAAGGGGAAGGGAGTGGGGGAATGGGATAACTGGGTGATGGACATTAAAGGAGGGCACGTGATGTGATGAGCACTGGGTGTTATATAAGACTGATGAATCACTGACCTCTGCCTCTGAAACTAATAATACATTATATGTTAAATAATTGGATTTAAATTTAAAAAAAAACTACACTCTTAGTGTCTTAGACTTGTTTTAGGAGGATGTTTCTAAGCCTTAGTTTTATCCTCTGTGTAACGGGAAAAATAATAATATGCATTTCAATATGGCTGTTGGGAACATTTCAATGAGATAATGTATGTAAAGTGCTTCCCGGAATAGAAAAATTGTTCAGTGACTATCAGATTTACTATTTTCTGTTAATACTGAATAGGAAAAGAAGTAACTGTTTGCATTTTGGGTTTGAGCACACAATTATGATATATGTGATAAAAGTTATTTGCTCTGGCTTAGTGTAGCATTCAACAAGTACTGGCTGAATGAATGAATGAGTGATGCTAGAAATCTTTCTATCATTCTACTACAATTGGTTATGATGCCTTGTCCACCAAAAGTCAATAATGTTTTACACAGAATGTGCTCTTAAAAGTCTGTTCTACGTGTCCAGAAGGGTTTAGGGCAACTTGGTTTCATTTTTTTCTTTTTTTCTTTTTTTTTTTTAAGATTTTATGTATTTACGCGTGAGTATTTACACAGAGAGGCAGAGACATAGGCAGAGGGAGAAGCAGGCTCCCTGTGGGGAACCTGATGCAGGACTCGATCCCAGGACCCCAAGATCACTACCTGAGCCAAGGGCAGATGCTCAACTACTGAGCCACCCAAGTGCCCCAGGGCAACTTGGTTTCTAAGCAGTTTTGTTCCTACAGTCAAGCAGTCAGGGGAAATTTGTGTTTGGGAGGGGAGACAGACAGATCTCAAAATTTTCATTGATCTGTTTATTCCTTGGAGGAAGTTGTTGCAGCAGCTACTAATAACTATGTAATAGGGTCCCCACCGTGTTTTGAGGTTTGTAATTAGTGTCAAACATTGGAATCCAGCACAACATACTGACACCAGCAAGGTCACAAACCAGGCTTTTCCACCCCATTCCAGTGGTTTTATATCTCAAACGATGCGGGATTCTGTGGGGCTGTAGCATGCTCTTCTGGAGGAGAGACACAGGAGGATAGAGCTTTCAAGTCTGGGCACAATTACACCTTGGAGTAAGCCATGGATTTCTTGGATACAACTGGACACTTTTTAGACACTTGCACGGCTCCCCAACAAACACTCAGTGCCTTGACATGGTTCCTGGTGCTTTCAGCAGTACCAGTGGGAGAGCACTGAAACTTTGTTCCTGTTTTTACATGCTTGAGTACAACCTGCACTTCCAATCTATGTAACCTCTTAGGGTTCAGGTTGTCTCCTGTAAAATGAGGAACTTGCAAAAGAAGGCTCAAGGGCTCTCAGGCAGCTAAGTCCAGGGAAGCAGACAGAGCACTGGGCTTGGGAACTAACTCCAACTATTACCAGTGCGCCTGAGACTCCGTTGCATCTCCTGGAGAATGGGAATAATAACTGTGGTTATTCCGAGGGTCAGAGAGAAATGGTTTGTAGGTGTGTTTGTGTGGGCAGGGGGAGGGATGCTGAGATAGACAGATTGATTGATTGATTGATTGATTGATGACTGTGAGAGAGAGAACAAGTGGTAGGGAGGAACAGAGGGAGGGAGAGAGAAGCAGACTCCCCACTCCCCAGAAGAGTAGGAAGCCTGATGCAGGGCTCAATCCCAGGACCTGGAGATCATGCTGAAGGCAGATGCTGAGCCACCCAGGCATCCTATATGCTGAGATTTCTTGTCATCCTAGTTGTGTAATGGTAACAGCACAGTGTAACAGTGTCGAGCACCCTCCTACTGGGACTGAGCCAGAGCCAAACAAGCAGCCACCATTTAAATGATGTTCTTCTCTTCCTTCTTGTAACTAGGAAATTCTGATTTGCACACTGGCTTGGCCCAGTGTTGCCGGAGAAATCTCCTGGGACGTGTCGTTTGTTACTTTGAACTTCTTGGTACCAGGATTGCTCATTGTGATCAGCTACTCCAAAATTTTACAGGTATGTGTGCTTCCAGTGCCACAGCTGAACTCCACTTAGGCTTGGAATGTTTCAGTTGGAATCAACCTTCCAGGTCAAAAGTTACCTTAGAGTTCATGCCAGTCCAATCCTGGCTTTCTGTCTAGGTCCACTCTGCAACAGTGAGGGGCAAGAGTTTGGTATTTTTTTTAAGTTATGTCTTTATGATTGTTATTTTATTATTTAGCAGATCACAAAGCTCATTATAAAAAATTAAAGACATATAGAAATGTATCACAGAAACTAAACATCTACTCCTGCTGTTAACAGTTCAAAGTACATTTTTCGGGTTATTTTTTTTATAAATTTACCTGTATACATGCTTTTAGCTGTGTGTATGTATATATGTTATATGTATATAAAATACACCATATAAAATGGTCAAATATCAACTATACGCTATGCATTCAACCCAATGCTTGTTTGTTTCAGATTTGAGATAACATTATTTGTAATTTCCTTTTTTGGCTTAACACTATATTGTAATATCTTTCCATATTTGTTTTTATATCTCTGCCTCATTATTTTTAATGGTTTCTTGGTCTTCCATCATACGGATATGACATAATGTATTTTATGGGCTTTTGGGTTGAGTCCATTGTCACCCCATAACAAACAGCAATATAGTGATGGAGAATGTACACTTCTAAAAACTTTTTATTGAAGTATAATATACATCCAGAAAAGCATACCCAGCATACATGCACACCTCACAAGCTGACCACACTGCTAGAAGCAGTCCAAGAAAAAAAAATGGGAAACAGAACATTGCCAGAAGCCCGCTCATGTGACCTTCCCATCACTACCTCACACTCCCAGAGAAGGTGCTTTTCGAAAGTGCGCTGAACCAGGAAATGATCTCTACCTTTTTTTTTTAATATTTTATTTATTTATTCATGAGAGACAGAGAGAGAGAGGCAGAGGGAGAAGCAGGCTCCATGCAGGGAGCCTGACGTGGGACTCGATCCAGGGTCTCCAGGATCACACCCTGGGCTGCAGGCGGCACTAAACTGCTATGCCACCGGGGCTGTCCTGATCTCTACCTTGAAGTGAGAGCGTGTCCAGGGCCATCAAAAGGACCCTGCCAGCCTTTCTCCTACCTCTTGAGGCAGCCCATTCTTAGAGGCACAGGCAGATGGCATGTGTTCATGCTCATCTCAGGTTTAATGCAAAACCTTGAGTCCTCTTAGAGGTTTATAGCTGTTGAATCTTGGTTTTTATTACATATTATAAGTCATCTGGCAAACAAACTTCGTGAAGTGGGGCCCTGTAGGTCTTGCTTGCTAGCTGGCTACTTTAATGGCCTTTTCTTGGCAGCTGAGGATCTGTAACCTTCTGAGTTGCTCAGAACCCAAAACTAGGCCAACTTCCCTCTGGGTCTGCTAATCCTGGGTCCTTTGGGAGAGGGCCAGCCATGTTCTTCTCTAGACTCTTCCCTACCAGTTGACTTGTGGCCCACTTAAGTGACACCCACCCTGGGACTTGTTCAAGGCATAAGGCAGATTCAGGCCTGGAGTTAAGGTCTGTAAAGTGCTTGCAATGGGGGCCTGGCATTTGTAAATGCTATGTAAGTACTAGCCATTAATACCTTAAAAAAAAAAAAGGGAGTAAGGGAAAAAGGAAGATAAATGTAGAATGAATTCTTTAAAAGTTATTTAACAAATATTTATGTAGTATTTACAATGTGTCAGAACTAATTCATTTAATCCTATTAAGAATTAACAGATGAGAAAACCAATGCAGAGAGAGGCTAAGTAACTTGCCAGAGATCACACAGCTCACAAGAGCAGTATCAGGATTTAAACTCAGGCAATCTGGCCCCAGAGAGCCAACATTTTGATTCCTCAGACATTTGTTAAAGAACTGCTCTATGTTGGAGAGTGGAGATAGGTCAAGAGTGAGCAGGCCACCTTCTTTATCTAGAAGGAGCTTTTGTCCAGGAAAGGGAAGAGGAGACAGACAGCAGCACCACTGCCCCAGGTAGGAATCCCTGATAGGCCAGATGCATTGGTGCCGGGGCTCAGTGTGAAACTTTGGCACACTGTTGAGTGTTTCATGGATGTAAGAAGTAAAGGAGGGGAAGGAGAGGGAAGAACAAAGGGCCGTGGAAGGCAGACACGGAGACAAGAAAGGGCTCTTTTAATAATCTGCTTTTTCAGTCCTTGCTGTGTGGCCTTTGGCAATTTACTGGTCTGAACCTCAGCTCCCTCATCTGTGAAATGGCGATGACTCTGACAGCATAGGATTGTTGGGAGATACGTCAGAGATATGGCCTGCCTGCCACAGGGGCTGAGTGAACTACTTCTGCTGTTATGTGTTAGGCAAGACTGTCCCTCTGACCCTTGTCTCAGAGCATTCTGGGAAAAGGTACTGTTGAGTTTTTTGAGTGAATAAACCACAGGTCCAGATTGGGAGCATGGCAGGAGCAAGAGGCCAGGGCTAGAGCAGGGCTGGAGCAGGGCTCCTTTGTGGGCGTCCCCTGGAGGCCGGGAGGCTCGGGTCTGTCCCTTGGCACCTCACCTCAGACTCCTCAGCCACCTTCTGAGGGAAGATTGACTTATTCCACAGACAGATTTCCCACCCTTTTCGATCTTTTTCTCAGGCCAGGGCCCATGTGGAAACATTCTCAGAGCCCACTAGGCCCCTGATCTGACTCTAAACTGCAGTTCATTGCTTTCTGGATACTTTGGTCTAAACCCAAGGGCAGCCTTCAGTTCTTCCCAACACAGACCCCAGCACAGCTTCCCACCACAGACCCCAGCACAGCACAGGAAACAGTGCTCTGTCTGGGTAACGACTCCAAGATATAATTAATTTTTAAAAATATTTTATTTATTTGACAGAGAGAGAGCGCATGTGTGAGCACAAGCGGGGGAAGCTGCAGGCTGAGGGAAAGGGAGAAGCAGGGTCCCCGGGGAGCAGGGAGCTGGATGCAGGGCTTGGGGCTCGATCCCAGGACCCTAGATCATGACCTGAGCCAAAGGCAGATACTTAACTGACTGAGCTACCCAGGTGCCCCTCAAAGATATAATTTAGGTCCCATCACTTCCCTCACGCTTAGAGCAAAACTCAAAGCCCTCACCTTAAGACCCCGTATGATCTGGCCCCTGCCTGCCACCTCACCTCATCTTCTAGCCCTCTCTTGTATCCATATTGGCTGTGGGGCTGTTCCTCACACATGCCAACTCACAGTTGCCTCAGGGCCTTTGCACGGATGATTTAGTCTCCTGGATCTCTATTCCCCCAGTTTCTGTGTGGGCCACTCCCCCAACTCCATAAGGTCTCTGTTCAAAAGGCTTTTCCCCAGAGACCCTCCTCATCACTCTCTTGTCCTTTATTTCCCTGATTTATTTCTCTTGAGTGCACTTACAACCTCTGTCATGTTCCATTTGTGTGTGTTTATTTGTGAAGCATCTGTTCTGCCCACTAGAATGCAAGCTCCATGAGGGAGGGCTGAGACTTTGTTTTGTTTACTGCCATAGCTCTATGCTGAGTACAGAGCCTAGCTTATTCATCATAGATGCTCAGTAAATACTCACTGAGTGAGTAAGACAAACTTTGGGTCACATTGAAAGAGCCTATAGTACCTCTTCCTTTTGGGCAGTGGGGAAATCACTGAACAAAAAGTCCTAAGACCCAGATCTACTCCAGACTTTATTACTGTGTGACCTTAGACAAATCATTTGACTACTGTGGGCCTTGGTTTTGTCTGGAGCTGGATAGGCCCCAGGGGATTGTTTAACACATTAAGAAGATAATGTAGATATGATAATATTTCAAACAGGCTGCTAGACTTTAATTTGAAAGAGATCTAACCTTGTGATTTTGAAAATCACACTAATGCAAACATAAGACTTAAAAAATTACTTTCTACCCCACTAGCCAAACTTACTGTCACCCATTTCCTGGGAGGGCTATGACATTTGTCCTCACTTTGGACCTGTGGGTTTGCCAGGCAGGTAACTTGGGAGCAGGAAAGCTTCCAGGCAGTTGGAGTGTCTGGACAGCCCCTCATAGCTTGTGTCTCTCTCCCACTGAAGATACTCATAACTCAGAGTCACTGGTTCAGCTTTTCAACTGAGATTCTTCCATCAAGAGCATAACTCGGTAAAATGAAATGACCATCAATGTTAATCAACTCTTTTCATAGAGACACAACTAGCAAATCATCTGAAGCCGTAAGACATATCACTCTACCCTCTACCTCTTTCTTTCCTGTTACCTGTCAGCACTGCCTCTGACTCAGTTTCCATGTATGGGCCTGAGAAGTGCCCCCCTACCTTTTTAAGATTGTATTTATTTATTCATGAGAGACACAGAGAGAGAGAGAGAGGCAGAGACACAGGCAGAGGGAGAAGCAGGCTTCATGCTGGAAGCCCGATGCAGAATTCGATCCCAGGACCCCGGGATCATGACCTGAGCGGAAGGCAGATGCTCAACCACTGAGCCACCCCGGTGCCCAACAGAGACATTTTAAAGCCCTTTAAAGCCCGGGGGGAAAAAAAAACGTTAACTAGTCTTATTGTCTAACATGGGGTGGGGAGCAGCAGGGAGCCACATTTGATCATAATGAGCCCATTTTCTTCTCACTCCCTGAAAGCCGTGGAAATCATGGGCAGAGGAAATGGAGGCACCAGTCAGTGCTAAAAATAGACCAAACCACTTATCCACTCGGACCATGAGTCAGCCCATTTCTCTGTCTGCTGGCTCACAGTCACTGTCAGCCACTTGGTAGAGCTCTGGGCCACAGAAGCCACAGGGCTGCCCAGCCCTCCGGGAGCCTGCAGACTGGTGGTGGTCAGAGGTGACAATGATGCTTCAGCACCTACCACATGGCACATGTAGCACAGGCCATGTGAGTCCCCAAAACAAAGCACTGCAGGATGTCACGTGGGAGATGAACCAAGAAGCTTTCTTGGTGTTTCTGGCATTAGAGCTTGAAGTGATAGTCCAGGCAGAAGGATTTCCAGTGGCAGAAATAGTAGATGGTAGGAAGGAACTAGTTTAACATTAAAAGCATGGGCTGGAGTCAGACTCCCCAGGTTTGAAGTTCAGCTTTTCGACTGCTTAGCTGGGTGCTGTTGGGCAAGTTCCTTAACCTGTTTGAGCCTCAGTTTTCTCATCTGTAAAATGGGGGTCATCGAAGTACGTATGTCACAGAATTGTTGGGAGAATGTAAAGAGATAAGCCAAGTGATATGTATGGGGCCTGGCACATAGTAAGTGCTCAATAAATATGAATTTATATTGACATCATTCAAATATATGAGGGACTCTAGCCTTCTTGGCAGGGCAATGTGGGCAGCACAAGTGATGAGGTTGCTGTTGGAATCATCCCTTACTCACCCACCACTGTGAGGTGACTGTCCTCACCTGTTGGTCATGGTGCCTGATCTCCGTGTAGCTGGTGGTGGTGCCAACAGATCCTACTGATCAGGGGATCATTCCCAAATGGCCAATGCCACAGGCTGACTCCTGGCAGCAGCTGTCTCAGCAAATGAGCAGCCTCTACTCCTCCACTTCAAGGGCCTGTGGCAAGACTAGGATCCATCTCAATTGCTCCTGTAAAGGAAAGGAACCAAATACAGGGGCTCAGTGCTCCCTTTCTGCCCAGATTTGCCACACCCTCATGCCATCTCCCCTGCCACCAAACTGCCAGGGAGTGGAAACAGAGGGTACGGGAAGCTACAGGTCTTGTATTTTTAACTTGATCTGCTTCAGTACCACAATGTTTTGAGTTTGTAGCTTGAACACATACTGCTCTTATACAATGACTTACTTCTCAAGAAATAATAGGGAAAATGTGTGTCTTAGTCTGTTCGGGCTGCCATCATAAAATACCACAGACTGGCTTGTAAACAACAGAAGTGAATTTGTCAGAGTCATGGAGGCTGGGAGGTGAGGAGGAGGCTGCCCTCCCCCAGGCTGCAGCCTGCCCCCTTGTCTGTGGTAGAGGGCTGAGGGAGCTGTCCCGGGATTCTTTCCTGAGGGCACTCTTCGTGAGGGCTTGGATCCCATAACCTGATCACCTCCTAATGCCATAACCTCGGGGGTGATGCGTCGGACCATAGCCATGTGTTTCTGCTTGCATGTTTCTCTTCTAGACCATACAATTCAGCCTTTTCACTTCTCTGCATCAACTCTCTTTACAATACGGGTGATTTTCTGCCTTTTTTCCTTGGAGTCAGCCAGGTGCCCCTTTTCCCCAGAACATTCTAAGTGCAGGCAGCTGCCAGGCTCTGAGACAGGTGCTCTCCACACAAATTCCCAAAGCCAAATTGTCTCAGGGCAGCAGGGATGACAGCTTCCAATGCTAGCTGCTTTGCTCCTCCAAAGTCAAAACCCCCAACATCCTGCAGTAAATCATGGCTGTGACTCTGTTTTGTGTTCCTGCAGATCACAAAGGCGTCAAGGAAAAGGCTCACGGTGAACCTAGCTTACTCAGAGAGCCACCATATCCGCGTGTCCCAGCAGGACTTCCGGCTCTTCCGCACGCTTTTCCTGCTCATGATCTCCTTCTTCATTATGTGGAGCCCCATCATCATCACCATCCTCCTCATCTTGATCCAGAACTTCAAGCAAGACTTGGTCATCTGGCCATCCCTCTTCTTCTGGGTGGTGGCATTCACGTTTGCCAACTCGGCCCTGAACCCCATTCTCTATAACATGTCACTGTTTAGGAATGAATGGAGGAAAATTTTTCACTGCTTCTTCTACCCAGAAAAGGGAGCCATGTTTACAGATACATCTGTCAGAAGAAATGATCTGTCAATTATTTACAGCTAATTAAGTTTTCTCTATAGGCAGAGTTTATCACCCTCTGGAAAGCCATGATATGTTCTCAAAGGGAGTTAATTTCCAGGTGCATGACATCAGTGTAGCCTGCTTTAAGAAAATATAACCTATGCAAATACATATTTATAGCACCAGTAAATTAAAGGGTGATCATTAGGTTTAACAATTTTACCCTTTATAAAAATTTGCTATGGGCTCCTTTTAAATATGAACTTTTTCAGTATGTTTGCAATATGATTGAGTTTAATAAATTTTTATTTATAACTGTTCAGCAATCACATCACTTACATGTAAAGCCACACTGTGCTGGTTTCTGGAATGAGTTTTGGAAATGATCGAGGACACAGGTTTCTCCCTGAAGGATCACAGCCACTATAGGCCTCCACCCTGGACTTGCAAGGCCTAAAGACCATTCACTAATGTGAAGCACTTGAGGAATTTCCAAAGAGTAATTAAAGATGATTTCGTTTTTCACTTATAAGAAATGCAATGAAAAAAAAAAAGAAAAAAAAGAAATGCCATGGACTCCTTTAGGAGAAGCTGTGTCATGAAATCCATGAAACCAGAGAGGAGATAGGATGGCTCAAAACATCCAAAGTGAGGGCACAAGCAATTCCTTCCACTGATTCACCTGTCAGGTGCCTCTTAAGCACATGCTGGTGTTCTTGGTGCTGAGAGGGGTCTAGGAAGACCCTTCTAGGGGATGGTATTTGGGCCAAAAGGTGAACTATAAGAAGGAGCGAACCATCTGAATCCAGGGGAATGGGGCTTTGCAGACATTACAGACACTGGTCCTGGTGCAAAGGCGCTGGTATACTTGTGGGACAGAAAGAAGGTTGGTGTAGGCAAAGCAACTATTGACTGAACTTCCTCTATGCTACAATCTGTCCTTAATGCCAGGACAGGGGGCGCCCTACTGGAGCCTCTTGACTGAAACCAGAGAAAGTACAAACCTGGACTTTATAGGGTCTGGGAGGCCACATAAGGAGTTAATTCTATTCAGTGGGCAACCCCTGGAGGTTTGCAACTGGAAACTTAATATATATCTTTCAGTATTACTCTGGCTGCTGTGCAGAGAATGGACTTTGAGGAGGAAGAAAAAAACAAGACCAGTTAGGTGGCTGCTGAAATAGAAAAAGAGGTAAGTCAGAGGTGGGCAGCCTTAGATGGAAGTTGTGAGAAAGGAACTTGAAACGACTTTGGGAAGACAGAGCAAGCATGATTTACTGATGGACAGGATACAGAATGTGGGAGAAGAGAGGATTCATGGGTGACTCCTGACAGTGGTTGAATGACTGGGCAGGCCACAAGAATATGGAAGACCAGAGGAATGGCAGGTGGGAGAGCCAAGAGTTTTGTTTGGGGCATACAAATTTGGGATCTCAATGAGATCCAAGTGGAAAGTGGGCAGTTGGATGCAGGGATATAGGACTTGGACCCAGAGATACAACATCAGGAGTCGTCAGGTAGTGGTTATAGGTCTATGGTTTTATAAAATATCCCTGGGACAAGGAGATAGGGAGAAGAAACCAGAACCAAAGAGAACCTGTCACTTGGAGGCTGAGCAATGACTGCAATGCATAGTAGCTTGGAACCTGGCACATAGTAGGGACCTCAACGACTCTGTTGCAGAGTGGTGCAAATCAGCACCACTGGTTGCCATTGCTTGCAAGGCTTCTTGAGTAGCTTGCTTCTGAAGTAAGATTTCAGTGGTGATCACAAGCTTGAGAACAAGAAGACAAGGTTCTTTTGTGCATCTTTAGTTAGTAGATTTAGTAAAGTAAAGCTGTTTTATGAAGTGATATGTGGCTTTGTTATGGACCTCTGGGATCATCAAAGTGAAGCTGCAGAGCCTGGCTCTGACAGCCTGTTGTTAGGTATGCACGACAGGCAGAGCTTTCCCACATTGAGCTACCTGTTTCCTCCCCTGCTGGTGGGAGAACAAAGCACATTGAAAGGATGGACCCAGGGCTCCCTTCGCTCCTTGACCCGGCAGCTCCAGGCAGAGATTTCTACACTCACATCCCCTTCCCCACCTCCCAACACATCTCATAGATGTCAGCCTGGCATCATCGCCAGGGCTTGCACAGCTTCTAAGTGCTAGAACTGAATCCTCACTGGACCCCATTAGGCAGATACTATTCCCCCATATTTCACAAGAGGGAAGCTCCGGGAAGCCATATGAGCAGCTCCAAATCACACAGCTAATATATATCTGAGCTGGATTTTGACCTAAAACTAAGACTCTGGTACCAAAGCCTTGATGCCTTTTCCAGATCAGAAACTGAGGCTCCCAGGAGCTCCTGGGAAACAAAGGGCAAATGGCTCTGCATGTGATTACACACTATGTTCACGAGAGCTACTGATAATGTGAACACTGCGTGTTCTTCCCCAGCCCCGCTACTTTTATCCCCAGCTAACCCCTTTCCCGAGCTCCAGAAGGAGGCACCATGATCATCCCACAGATCTGGTTTCCAGGGCCTCATCTCCTGACTCCCCCAGGGAAGCCCACAGCCACCTCTCCCTCGACATTTTGGCCTTCCCCGAAATAAGAAGTGCTTTAAGTCCTAGAGAACATGAAGGGCTGGGGGTGAGCCCACCATCCTACCTTCCTCATGGACCCATGGCCTTGAGCTCACTGGCCTGGCCTAGCCAAGACACACCTCTTTTGGCCCTGGCAGGCTTTAGGTGAGGCCTTTCTCAGTTAATGGCAAGCTCCCTTTCCAGGAAGTCGGGAGAAGCCACAGTCATTACTAATGGAGCTGAGGCACAGAACAGGCCAAAAGTTATGAAGAATGGGGAGAGAAGAGCCCCTCCTGGTATACAGAAGCACACCCTACCCAACCACCCACAGAACTTGTCACATTGACATTGAGGCGGCACAAATAAAAACCCAGATCACAGGAAACAGGTGACTACATTTTAATAAATCAAAGTCTGGAATCCTAAGCTTGAAATAATTCCTTAGAAAACTCCAGGAAAGACAGTCATCTGAGTGCAGATTCACTTATCCCCACAGATATTTTTAGGTGTGCTGAGATTCCATGTTTGCGGAGGGCAGGGGTGCAGAGCAGGGCAAACTAAACCCCTAAGATACGAGACAGTTGAAGGCTGCATGAATTAATGGGAACTTTTCAAATGGAACTCCACGTTGCTACAAAGTGTTTGGTTCTGATCTGCCGTCACAATACCCTGAAATAGAGAAAACAGTCATTGATGACAGGAAGACAGACCCAGTGGTAAATGTACGCAGTGATTATTATGATGGCCTTAGGGCTCGGCTGTATTCAAATGTTTCTTGTAAGGTCACAGCTAGATGTGACTGTGATTCATCCCCACCCTCAAGGCTCTTCCTGAAACCCTTTGATTTTCTCTTGTGGGTGAGAGAGGGGCCAAGAGCATAGGAACTGCTGTATGGAAGTTTTCCTTTAATTGGTCTTAAATTTGCCTCACTGCATTTTGAAGGATCGGGGGCATGTCCTCCTATTTCAGGAAGTGGGGACCAAATCAGCCTGACCTCAGCCACTGTGTGGGTGGTTTTATAGAAACCATGTTCTATAAACCATGAACTATGTATGGTTCTATAAACTATGAACCATGTTCACCACGTTCACCATGTCCTGTGTCACCAAGTGGTGCCACGGGGGGCTTTGGGGTGGGAGATCTTCAATAATCTGTGTAATCTTTCTTAGTCTGCATTTTCTCATCAGTAGAATGTAGATAATGAGAATCCGTACTCTATAAGGTTCTCTGAGGGTTACGTGGGGGCTAATACAGGTAAATGGTGCGGTATGGGTCCTGGCTGAGGTGACATCCTCCCCCGGCCCTACATGTAGGCTGCTCCCAGGATAAAGCATCAAAATCTTATTTTTTAATGTTTTTTGGTTTGGGTACATATCTATCTGTTTGGTGTTGTGTGGGCTGGCTAGTCAGATGACCAACAGAAAAGTTCAGTTTTGTTCTTTTTCTACATTTTAGCATTACCCTATTTGGATTTTGAAACTCAGTTTCCCGTGGGAGTGGGTGTCATTTCAAAATAGACTGCACACTTTCCTCCAGAACATTATCGGTTTTTAAGTCAAGATCAGACAAAGGTAACATCTATAAAAAGATTCGATGGCTGTTCCAGGGAATCTCAAAAACCACAAGTGAGGAAAACTAGCTAGGCAATTTCACAGTTGTTTAGTTCCATATGAGAAAAAGAGCATTTGTTGAAATGGTTGTGATCTGAACTTGTTATGGTGATGTATCTCTTTACCTTTTTACACCAATGGTCACATTTGCTGCCCCACCCCTCACTGGGGCCACTGAATCCTTAAATAATATGAATGTAGTCAAACAGTTTTGGGGGCAGTGTAGCCAGGGACAAAGTCATGTGACCACAGACTGAGCCTAGGGGAGCAGATAAAAAGGAAGAGTCTTTTCTCTGCAGCTTTACTTCATTGAAAGTGCCAGGGTTAAAAAAAAAAAAAAAAGAAAGAAAGTGCCAGGGTTTTGAAAAGGGTTTTTTTTTTCCCCCCTCACCCTTTCTGAAACAGCCCCACAAAAGATCTGATCAAGAAGGACCCAGCTGGGTCCCCTGGGGCTTCTCAGACTCCCTGTTTTCTCTCGCATGCAGATGAAATGGATCTCACTGGCAGGTGGGCCCAAATGCATGGCACACCGACCTCTCCAGGAGAGCTGGGGCACCCTACTCCCACCCACCCACTCACCATTGTGAACGATCAGCCTGTACTGCCTGGCCAGGCACAGCTCCTCCTGCCTCTGCCTCACGATCTTTTGTGCCTCCAGGGGAAGGCCATTGGGGTCACGGGAAAACACGAAGGAGTAGCTGTCAGCACAGGTGCCATCGAGGTTCAGGAGGCGGCAGGAATACTGCACGGCATAGGTGTCATAGTCCGTGTCGATGATCCAGTGGTCATCATCTGCAAACCAGAAAGCCATAGAGTCAATGCCTCTCCCTCAGTGGGCTCAGGTGTCAGGGAAATACCAGGCTCAAGAAACCAGTGACTTCCTGAAACTGGTTTCATTTCTCCAGGAAGCAGGAGACTGCCGAGAATTCTGAAGGTTTTCATTAGATTGGGAGAATAAGTAAGGACGTTGTTCTCCTTTATAGAAAAGAATCCTGGAGTCGAGAGGTGATTAGTGGGGGGAAGACCTTGTTCCCTTCAATGATAATCTCTCACCCTGACAACAAATGTGATAGTATCTATCCAAAGAACAACTGGGACTGTGAGCCCATCGAAACCATCAAATAGACCATTTACTGTTGTCTGCTCCACCTATTCTCCAACAATATCTGTGCTTTTGTGGCTGACATCTGATGGCCGCCAGCTTATGTCTCACTGCCCTGCTGCCCCCTGATCCCCTGGAGGACATCACTC